TATGGTCGTGTGTAACTGCATGTAGTGAGTGCTATAGCTGAGCTATTCTCTAGATTTCTTATCTTATTCGGGTGAACTAATCTAGACTTTGGTGCTAGGTATTTTATGCTCGGCTAGTCTGACTGACTGTCCCTGTTCTACTAGTTTGACCTATGTATTTGAGTCATATGTATTTGACCTGACAATCATTGCAGGGTATTAGATAAACTAAGTTGTTGTGTTTTAAAGGCTCCACAGGATCCTTTAACCGACAAAGCTTGTTTCTAATTGAGTTTGTGGTTTGGAATGCCAGCCACTTTTATTCCTGCCTTGTTAAGAATTCTGCGTAAGGTTTCCGAGGTTCTTTCTTTGTATAGAATTACTACTGATGATTTAGATTCAAATGTGCGCAAGGCAACACCAACAATATAGAATCTAAATCACCAGTAGTAATTCCATACAAGGAAGGAACCTCGGAAACCTTACGCAGAATTCTTAACAAGGCAGGAATAAAAGTGGCTGGCATTCTAAATCACCCACAAACTCAATTAAAAACAAGCTTTGTCGGTTAAAGGATCCTGTGGAGCCTTTAAAACACAACAACTTAGTTTATCTAATACCCTGCAATGATTGTCAGGTCAAATACATAGGTCAAACTAGTAGAACAGGGGCAGTCAGTCAGACTAGCCGAGCATAAAATACCTAGCACCAAAGTCTAGATTAGTTCACCCGAATAAGATAAGAAATCTAGAGAATAGCTCAGCTATAGCACTCACTACATGCAGTTACACACGACCATATAATAGGATGGGTGGGGTAAGATGACAGTTTTAAAATCGAATGTCACAGGGTGAATGGAGGGAGAGATTGATAACAGAAACCTTGTTTATCGAATCAACTGCAAATACGTGTAATAGGAATGAATCAACACCTGTCCAGACAGATATCTGGAAAATTCTACTACCACGCCTACGACGACAAATAGGAGAGAACAAAGAAAAACTATAAAACTGAAGTTTCGAAGTCGTGTGATTATAACTGATGATGTGATTATGAACAGTAATAAATTTTGTTCGAAACTGTGTCATCCAGTAAATAATACGACTGTTTCACTGAGTGTGTGATACATCTAATAAACAAACTAATATGGAATTCCGAGGTACCACCTTTCTCTTCGAGCGATGCTAGTTGACGTAGGATTAGGTTGGTGAAGAGTTGGAGGTGGTCAAACCAAAACATCGCATCAGTCCATGAATCCTTTGACAGTAGGTTTGAACCAGCCACGTAGGGGAGATGTAGACTGACTGGTTGGAATACTCGGGGTGCTAAAGACCAATGTTTTCTGACTATTGATGATTCGATTCAAAGCCGCTCTTAATGGTGCAGATATATTCACTCTTTGTGATGTTCCATATCCATTAAAACCAACTGGTTTCTCCATATTAGTATTCTTTCTCCCTCAATTACATGCTTATCATAGTCCTTTAGCATTCCTTATTTCTCTTTCTGCATTTGAGTGTTACATGGAGTTTGGCAACTTGAACTGATGCACTGATATGTGCAAAGTTGTGTGTTGAAAATTAGTCAGTCAGTTACTCAGAGACTTGGTGGTGACTGACATGTCACCACAGTGGTGGGTATAGTCTCTCCGATTAGGTGTGCAGATGATATAGTCTTTTTTAGATGAAGACGCTGATGCAGTGCAGAGTGTTCTAAACACTTTGAGCAGAATTCTTAGTATGTTAAGCATGTGGTTCGTCTCTGTCAAATATGAGAAGTGGTTTGCACCGGCTCCTAGTTTAAGTTTAAGGATTGAAGTGGTTGAGCATGTTGACTGACCACTTCGCCTGTTTATGAAGTTGTGCCTCAACCCTGATGGGCTGATTGCTGACGAAATCTCAGCTCGTATACATTAGACTCGTGTAGTCATTTACCAAATTACATCATTTCTGACACAGACGTGATATCCTACTGTCGATCAACAGATTTGTTTGCTCAGTTCTTCTTCATGGCACTGAGATATCACTGTTGAGAGGGGAAGATGTGGAGGGACTAGTGTCTTTTGATCAATAACCACCTGCTTTCAGATCTTTGTGTAAAGAGATGTAACACGATGAGTAATAATGAGGGTAGGTGAATAGTGTTGGGTCAGGAGGAAAAGACAGTGGATAAGATTGTGCATCTGCATTGACTGAGATGGCTAAGTCACGAGTTTTACATCTTAAGCCATTGCTTTCCTCGTAGACGACTAATGTTGGCTGATATAGGATAAAGTTGGGATAGAGTAGCGTGGGTGGGAGTGGTCAAACTATATAGCTTGGCATAAATCCATGAATTCCTCGACACTTTGTTTGAGCCAACTATGTAGGAAGATGTAGACTGCCTAGTTAAGGATCCTCGGGATGATGGGAACCAATGACCTGAAGACGACTATTGATCATATGGCTCAAAATCGTTCTCATTGGCGCGGGGATGCATTCACTCTTTGTAATCTCTCAGCCCCACTAAGTTCTTCCTGATGAGCTTCCATGTTACTACTCCTTTTTCTGTACATTTCTGTTCATTCGAATTCTTTTGAATCCCTCTCTCTCTCTCAGATTTCTCTACTTTTATGTGCTATATGGTGTGTGGTAACTTGAAATTCTGATGCCTTTCTGTACAACGCTTCAGAATTCTCTCTTGTGAAAACTTTGAACGTGATTGGTTGTTTCTAGAGATTTTCACACCTCGTTTTTTTTTCCACTGACTACTTGAAGATGACTTTCTCAAATACCTCTTTGAAAAGTATTATTCGATTACCATATAATTAGTGAAATTTGTATGTCGGTTGTGAATTTTCAGATAGGCAAACTAACTGAAATTGTTGATGATAGTATAAATATATAATTTGATCATGACAGTGGTTGACGGTTGCTCTATGCATCACGATATGGTGGAAGTTGGAATTGATGGATCCTTCCCAGTGGCTGAATGGTCAACGAGTGTTCGCCTTGTAGCCTGAAGGTCATAGGTTCCATATCTGTAGGTGTAGGATTAAGGGTACGTGCTGCGGATGGGTTGAAGACAAGAGCGAAACAGCACTCGACCTGCTGATTTTTAATGGTTCTCTAACTGAAGGCAGTTTCTAATCAAAAACAAATTTTTTTTCCTTGAAAAAACTGACTACTAATTCCTACTAGTATTTTTCATCAAGACTCAAAGGTAAGCAGAAAGTCATGAAAGGCACAATGAGTGTGACTTTTCCGAGTGTTTTGTGAAAATGAGATGGGAACTATCCGTAATTTAGCATAGACGGATTAAGACCATGAAAGAAGGAGTAGTTGAACTAACTGCTTCTGTATACAGACATCTATCTGGCTTTTCTATATCGATGACCCAACCTCTTTAACAATACAGATGAGTTGGATAAGTAATGCCTTTGACAGGTTATTCTTCGCCTTGTAGATAACTTGAAAGAAGGAAGCGCTTTAGAAGTAATATGACGAGTATCGGTCAGATATATTCAATCACTGCACTTCTTATAGACTCACTTCCACCTCTTTGTAAGTCCGCAAGATAGTGTCTTTGTTGCCCACTTCTGGAAAAAAACACCCGTGTTGAACTACCGATATACCTAGCTCCACAGGAGTAGGTGGAGGTGAACTGGTAAAACATACACACTGAGTTAGTCAACTACATCGTCTTACCCTTCTTCAGGTTATTGGACAGTAATGGTGTACTAGAAAAAAAAAAAAAACACCAATCTCAACGATGCTGCAGCCAGTGTCCATTTCAAAAACTTTGATGTCCTTCTTTGTTAATGATGTTGTCAGCTAAGTCACCTTTGAATTCAAGGTTCATATATATATATATATTTATAACACTTTCTTGTATACAGACGTCAAATCGAATTGTATGTTGTTGAGTATAAATCATGGTGGATATCCATTTTTTTTTTATTAGGATTTTTCCTAGAAGATTTAACTCTTCCTCGTCTACATATATGCGAATGACAAGTAGTGAGATCAAATCAGGTTTGGTTTTCAACCAGTTGGTACTCAGTTGTAGAAATTTATCAGCTGTGTAACCATCTTATGACAGCTTTTACTTTAGAGTTCTATCAGTCCTCGTTGAATGTTGGATTAGTCATACATTTCCAGTGGATAGAAACCATAAAATGCATTTTTTGATATATTTTATCCGGTTTTATCATGTAAAAGGAAAACCACAATTGAAGTGTATTCATGAACTGACTGACATTGGCTAGAGAACCACTGAAAGGCAGAGGGGTATTGTACAGATGTCCCGTTTCAGTTTACAATTATTCAGTGGCATGCACTCATTACTACTCCACCTGGAGTGGAACCCAAAATCTCTAAGTGATACAACAAGCATATCACCATTCAAGCACTGAAATGCTATCCAATAGACCTAGCTGGGCGGAAACAAACTGTTGCCCAGTAATCATCTCTGGTTCTTATTGGCATACAGTATGGATGATGCCAACAGATACGCTACACAGTATGTCATAGTTTGTTCAAAGGCTGAAATACTGTTCAGAGATCAAGCTTGAAGCACTTGGTTGTCTTAAGGTGCCAACCTTCCTCTCCCCTCGAACCTTTGACTTGATATCTGATTCACAAGGCAGTGTGAACGAACCAGCGTTCTAATGGTTTCCAATGTTCAAAACAGGTTTGTACGTCATTCGAATGGTTCAGATTCTGAGGCCCATGTAAACAACATAGGTTTGGAATAAGGATTCTCCAGCTCCCTCCCCTAGGGAGAGCAGAGGTAGACTAGCAGATGTCCACCAGCCTGGTTGTAGGCCCTGTAATTTCATTCATTTTTTTAGGGGGACACCTTAGCCGCTGTTTGAAAGTAGTGAATAAGATTCACCTGGGTATGTAATACGAAGCATAACTTGAACACCAATTGAATCATTTCTACAAACTAACACTTTATTGAATAAAGTTTGTTTGAATGTAGATTTTAATTTAACTAATGAAGACAGTTTCTATTTTTTAAAAATCTTTTTCCCATAGAATAATAATTATCCTTGTGAATGCTATCAAAGTGTACACTTTCAGTCCATCACCGCAATTAGTTTTCGAGTCAAAAACATGTTCAAATCCTTTAGGATTATGTTATGTATGCCAAAGTGCCGATAATCCATTGGTTGTATTCCCTGGCCGACGACCCGGTACTGTTCTACTTGTACATATTGGAAATACTAGTGGCAATGTGATTGTGAATAATAATGATAATAATAATAATATGAATAGTACTGTTATGAGTGGGAATATCAGTGGTAGCACCAGTAATCTTAGTAATATGAATACAAATATTGGAGGTTGTTCAAGTTCGACTAATAGTACTACCACACCACTGCCTGTTAGTAGTAGTACAATGTGTCCATCATCCACAAATGCAACAAATATGCCACCGAGACAAATAGTCGCACATGAAAACCCTTTGGCATCGATCAGTTTAAATCGTGATGGTTATTTACTGGCTACAGCATCACAGAAAGGCACTTTAATACGTGTCTTCTCAACAAAAGACTGTAGTCTACTGCATGAATTACGACGTGGAACAAGTCAAGCTACAATCACTTCATTATCATTTAATAAGGATAGTGATTTGTTGTGTGTTACGAGTGAACGTGGTACAGCGCATATCTTCTGTTTGGCGAAAGATAATACTTCTTCTTTTTCGTCGTCGTCGACGTCGAATCTGCGTAATACACCGACTGGGGGGAATAGTCCTCATTTTATGAAGTCTACAGGATCCGGGTAGGTTGTTATCATTTATTATTATTATTATTATTATTATTATTATTATTATTATTATTTGAATAAAGCATTAAGAAGACAAATTTCGCGAGATGATGGCATTATTTCGTTGTTTCTTTATAACCGCTTTACAGCTAACATGGTTCACAATAATAAAATAAAATAAAGTTCATGACAATTACTCAGTCAAATAAAATAAACAAAAGTACATACTAATGACCAATCATCACATTTAAATAGGTCAAGTAGTCCATGGTAGGGGAAGATTGAAGTACATTGTTTTATGTACACACACAGTTTAGGATGTATGTGATTAATCCGCAAAAAGTGTTTCCATCACCTTCAATAACCAACCTTGAATTAGAGTTATGTGTTGAAATAATTGTGAAACAGTCATTAATATTGATTTTGTGACCTAACATTAATAAGTGTTTTGCAATGGATGATGTTGCTGGATTTCTATTCAGATTAATCGTGTTGGGATTTTCTATATGATATAGTAACCATTTTGGAACATGTTCTTTTCGACCACGGCATTGGAACAAATTCTATTGGTTCTACCTACATAGGTGTCACCGCAACTGCAGGTGAACTTGTAGATACAGTTTGAAGTAGAGTCCACAGAATTTCATCCTTTAATCGTGGGTACAGGGATCGAAAATGTTCGGCAAGTGAGAAAAAGAGATGCGGCGTAGAATGTGCGTTTGACGGTTGACCCTTATTATGATTACTTTTTAATATATATATATATATATATATATATATATATATATTAGAACAAGACATATAAGCGAACAATATTGTTTTCAATTAGATCTTCTTCAGGCTTTACTCTAATTTACATAGATTTATATTAACTATGTTCAAAACATTTACCACATTATTATTATTATTATTAAGACTATTAAGATTATTATTTGATTCCCAAAATCACCGTCATTGGTTAAAATTTTATATATAAATCTATGTAAATTAGAGTAAAGCCTGAAGAAGATCTAATTGAAAACAATATTGTTCGCTTATATGTCTTGTTCTAATATTATAAATGGGAATATTTAAAGATATATATATATATTCTGAATACCAATTGCCAGCTCACTGATGGGCTACTGTATCCTTGTCCTCAAGCTGCAGTCGGTATTATTGCTTAAATTTCTTGTGTTCTTCATGTAAATTCGGTATCGCATAAGCTTTTTTTCTTGTCTTCTTTCGTTTGCCTTCCCAGTGGGATAGGCAGCTTCAGTCTTTGGAGTTTCAGTAGCGATGGAATTGATTTTACTAAGTGGAGCTGACAGTGCGTCGGTGGCACAGTGGTGCGATGCTCGCCAACCACGCCTCACGTGGTTCGGAGGGTTGGATCCCCGGCCGACGCACTCCCTCCTTTATCTCGTTAAGTCAGTAATAAGACTTGTAAAGAGGAAAGGTTGGACACGAGGCTAGCAGCAACCCATTCTTTTCAATAATCTTTTAAGTGGTATGCATTGACAACCCAATCAATGATTGAATTCAGAAACTTTGGGTTACGAGGTCAAGCATGTTGACGACTATTCACTCACTTTGACTGAAATTCAATAACCTGAGAATTCTAACTTCTAGAGATAGAGTGATCATTATCGACCAGATGTTCAATGATAGCGCTTCTTATTGCTCCATTTCCACCTCTTCGTAACTACCATACTGGATACTGTTCTTGCATCCTCTTGGACAAAACTTGAGTCAAACGACCGATGTACCTAGCTCCATACAAGCAGGTGTGCGGTTAAATCGGTCGTTCGACTTGAGTTTTTGTTTAAGAGGGTGCAAGAATACTATCCAGCATGATAGTTACGAAGAGGTGGAAGTGGAGCAATATGCAGTGCGATCATTGAACATCTGGTCGATAATAATCACCCTATCTCTACGGCCTCCACCTTTAAAGTCATCTACAAGGCGAAAAGTAATTTGCCCAAATCACTACATATTTGACAATTCTAATTTCTGTCTATTATCGCTTTAAGTACCACTACTACCAGCCATTGTCATCTGTGGCCGATATTTATCTTCACAACGGACCTGTTGGAGCCTACTGGTCACGACATCTCAGTAGTGTAGTACTAATCCAGGCAACTTTGTCCTGTAAAATTAGTCACCAGAGTAAGCAGATTAACTTTCAAGAGTTAGTTTGTAGGGATTCAAGTTTGATCAAGGATCGTTATCGGGTATAGGACAATTGGAACTCAAATTTGGATGAAACAGCTGTCCAGAACTGTTTGGTTTTCAATAGTTCTATAACTGATAACGATCCCTAGTCCCACTTGAAACAAATCAAATACCCCTACAAACCAACTCTTGAGAACTTCTTCATCGGGTTGTCTACTGTTACCTATTCCCCTAATAAGTAAAGAAATATTGTTACTGACAACATTATTGCTGTTTTGAATTACATTGAATCAATCAATGGTGTCAACAGATTACATTACGAAAAAATCTGTCTGTTTGTCTGTCTATTTTCGACATAGAACTTTGCACCGATGTGCGGTAGTTCGAGTCACCACACTCCCTCCTTGTAGCACACAAAGCAAGAGAAGAAAGTAGGAGAAATGCATAATATAGACAGTAAACAGAGGTGTGAGACAAAGGAATAGTAATAACGAAGAACAATATCGTTTCATTGGAAATCATAAGTCACAAGGAGTGGATGCATCTGTGCCAGCCATTGAGAACGATTTGCAGCCATGTCACCAATTGTTTCCTGCCTTCATTGGTTTTTACCGTCCCGAGGACCCCAACCAGGAGGCCAGTCTACACGTTCCTACGTGGCTTAGACTAACTGTTGTAGATTTCATTGACTGGTGAAACCATGTTTTGGTTTGACCGCCGCTAGCTCTTTTCCAGCCTGACCCTATATCAGTTAACATAGCCCGTCGGTCGAGGAAGGCGATGGCTAGGCAGGCATGCGTAACACATGTCCTAACCATCTCAGTCGATGTAGTTTCACAGCCTCCTCGATTGATTTCCCCTCCTTACCTAGCACTCACTCCACTGATACCTAAACTCAATATTGCTCACCCTATTATACCACTTCACACACACGGGAGATAGAACGCAGATACCTCTGATCAAAGACAGCTAATCTTTTCATGTCTTCTACTCTCAATGGCCAAGTCTCTTTCGCAGCCATAAAGGAGGACGGAGCGGACTGCTGAGCAGTACACACGCCCTTTGGTCGATAGCCAACCGGATATCACGTCTACGCCAGAGATGGCGTAAACTGGCGTATGCGAAACTAGCCCTCTGTATCCGTGCTAAGATTTCGTCAGAGATCAACCCGTTGGGGCTGATGGTACTTCTCAAGTAAGTGAAGCGGTCAACGTGCTCTACCACTTCACTTCCTATTTCTAATCTAGGAGTCAGTGTCGTCCAATCCTGTAACATCATCTTACATTTGGCGGGAGCGAATTGCATGCCAAACATTCGTAGATTGCAGCACAGGGTGTTCAGAAGACTCTGCATTTTGTCAGCGTCCTCGCCTAGAAGGACTATATCGTCTGCATATTAGTACATCTATGATGAAGTTGAATAGGAATGGGGATAATGGGCATCCTTGACGGACACCACTAGTCGTCACCACTTCAGATGACAACTCGCCATAAGCCCTCACCTGGCTGCATGAGTACGAGTAGAGTGCCTTAATCAGTGCAATGTATTTTCTCGGCATTTCCTTTACAGCCAAGCATCGCCAGAGAACCTCTTGGTCGACAGAATCGAATTCCGCCTTTAGGTCAAGAAATATAATGATTGTTGGACGCCGGTAGGAATGCCCATGTTCTAGAATCTGTCGGAGGGTGAAGATATGATCAATACACCCTCTTCCTGGTCTAAAACCTGCCTGGTTTTCTCGTGTTTGTGCCTCCCGAGCACCACTTAGCTTACGCATGATTATTGAGCCTAGGACTTTAGATACTATATTAGTCAAGCTAATCCCTCTGTGATTATCACAAGAAAACTTGTCTTCCTTCTTGTATATCGGGATGATCAGTGACTTACACCAACCCGATGGGACTTCCTCTGATTCCCAGACGCTGCCTGGAACCTCAGTTAATGCAGACAGTAAACTGTCTCCACCGTACTTAAATACCTCTGGAGTCATTCCGTCAGGTCCCGCTGCTTTTCCTTGCTTCATATTAGTGACAGCTGTAGTAACCTCAGTTAAGGAAGAAGGACCTGTGTCTATATCACAAAAGCATCAGTAAGAGAGATAGAGAGATGATATGCATTATAATGCATAACACTAAACTGATTGAATATCAGGTAAATTATGCGAAGTAGCCTAGAAGTTATGAATGAATTTATAGATTGGACAGGAGGTCAGCGCAGCTATTCTTGGCTGACTAGACCTGTTTCTTTTGCACATTGAGCTCCGGTTGATTTAAGCGAATTGCACAATAGCCACTTCTGTTTAGAGTGTTTGATATCTAGGGGCCTTCGGTAATTTATTCGATACCTCATAGATAATGACAGAGAAAGATTCTTCAAAGCTAGCTTTATGGCCTGTTTAGACGAGGTGATCTACTGTAGAACTGTTGATGGTTTCTTTTACAACACTGGCAGGTGTTCCTGAACATGAAAAAACTAAGTTCCTAGAGCAACTAACAGCCCAGCATGACGAAGGTCCACGGAAGCAGTTGAATTGATAGATATGTAGGGAACTGTCTGTCTACAGAGATCAATAACATAACAAATATGCGAATAAAAATCCAAGTCATTCAGATGATAGTGTAACAGTATATTATCCAAAAATGCAGTAATGAGTTATATTAATTAAATGGTTACTTGGATATACTGTTAAATTCCACTGCTACAAATTATTAATATAATCCACAAAAGCATTCACGGTTGGAATCGTGTCTATTGGTAGAAGCTGCTGTGTGCCGGTTGTAGAGTTGTCTTCGAATAAGGATAATAGATTCCTGCAATAAATCCAAAGTGCACTACACTGGTGTAGACAGTTGATGACCAGTGAGAGAAGGTGAAACTGCCAACAGTACACTGTATTTCAAATTGTACTCGGAAGTTATCTGTATTTAAACATGAATTGTTTTAAACAAAAGTCATGTACAATGAATGTCTCTAATTTCAACACCTCTAACAAAAAGTGTACAATCCATATTAAAAGTCAATCTCAACGAAGAATATTCTTTTCAATAATTTCTCCTCTTCAGGTTCTTACAATTATAAAATAATTATAATATTTGTTGTCGTTACAATAAAGGCCAGTTATGCGGGAGGTACATTTTTAACGTAGAATAACAGATTAGTAATTGTGGGGTGTCAAAATAAATAGTCGTATTTGTGTGACAAACGTGCTAGGCTGAATTCGATTACAAAATATTGTAAAACGGGAGACAATGGTGGTGATTAATCATAATAGATTTGTAGAGTGTGGGGTAGGAAAATTGACAAGTCAGTTCAAGGTTATAAAAGGTGTCAGGTGAGTGGCTAGTACAAAGTGGTATGTATTAAAGAGGAGGAGATAGTAAGACTGCAATGGGAGGTTCATAATGAGATAACGAATATGTGAAATGTAACAGGTGGAGGCATATATTGAGAAAAGAGATAATATCACTAATAATAAGTCCGGATAGTATGAACGAAAAATTCGATAGTATTGAGAGAATGAAGGGCATAAATTATGACGAATAATAATAATAATTGTGATAATAATATTTGTAATAATAAGCAAAGGAAAAAAAGCCAAGAGGGTCAAGGGGAAGGAGCACTCTTGGTGAGAAGAAGAATCATCAATCCAAGTTTGGCCACGGTAGGAACAGCGTCTGGACGTGTTCTTTTTGGATACAAAGTTCCGGTTTAGTCGATCTTATTGCAACAACTTCAGCTATGAACCTCCCATTGCAGTCTTACTATCTCCTCCTCTTTAATACATACCACTTTGTACTAGCCACTCACCTGACACCTTTTATAACCTTGAACTGACTTGTCAATTTTCCTACCCCACACTCTACAAATCTATTATGATTAATCACCATTTTTCTCCCGTTTTACAATATTTTGTAATCGAATTCAGCCTAGCACGTTTGTCACACAAATACGACTATTCTGTTATCCTACGTTAAAAATGTATCTGCTGCATAACTGGCCTTTATTGTAACGACAACAAATATTATAATTATTTTATAATTGTAAGAACCTGAAGAGGAGAAATTATTGAAAAGAATATTCTTCGTTCAGATTGACTTTTAATTCATAATATGGGAATTTTCCACACTACCAAAGCAATGCATACTGTTACGTACACCACAGATACATGAAGAGGTACTTCATCTTTCAGTTGAGGAATGTAAAATACAGATTGTCGCATCTAGTGTTAACTGATTCATTTTGTACAGTGTATATATATATATATATATATATATAACAACTATTTTAAAAATCGATTATTACATATTATATACTACTTAATTGCCAGTTACAAATTTAGCTTGTTGTTGTAGATAATATAGTTGACACAACTGATGATTGAAAGGGAATGTTGTCTGAATTGTGATAAACTGTGAAAGAGTGAATGCACCTTGAACTTCAATAGTCACTTATTGGTGTAACAACAGAAGACAAGGCTGGCAACAGATCAGTTTTATTACGAAAACCAACAGATATTTATATGTATTTTACGTACATTAATAAGGCTTCTGCCCGCAGAAAGAAGGCGGTCTTCTGATTGGTTGTTTGCAAACAAACGCAGTCTTCTGCTTTCTCGTTTTCGATATTTTTCGGAAATGCGAGCCACTTGTCTGCGAATCATATTTGTTCACGTTTAGGTCAGCTGTGATTGGTTGTTGAATCAGCCTAGATTAATTTCTACCAATCAGCGTAGATCAATGTCTACCAATTGGCTAGCAGCTTGCTCTCACCACATTGGTTGTATCATATCAACTAATCAAACGATAACACGGACTGTTATCTATCATCATGCTGTATTATACATAGAAAGTTATTTGAGACAGTTTAATCAATAATAATAATAATAATAATAATATTTTATTCAATGAATTCTTTTTATTAGTAGTCTCTATCTTTTGTTATTTGAAATCTTTACTTTCAGTTCTGGTAAGCTTTTTCCACGTTCTCTATTTTCTAATACAAGCCATGTACGTTGTGTTTTGGAGACTAAATTCAAAGCAATATGCGCCTTCAGTGTTGTCAGTCCTGATACACTAATTGGTAAGTTCTACAAAGGAGTGTTTCTCTTTATTTTCCCCATGCTCTCTCTCTCTGTCTCTCGTTGTATGAAGAAGTAATTTTTTTTTCATGTTGGGTATGACAAATTTTCTCATCTCATCAGTCAGTCAGCAAAGAGATCTCCTTTGGTAATTTCACTTCTAACCTATACAGTTATTTGGGACTAATGCTTTGGTTCCCAGTGGCCGAGTGGTCTAGGAGCGCTTGCCTTGTGTAACCTGAAGACCTGGCTGGCTGATTCGTACTGATGATGTGAGTCTTGGACTAAGAAAAAAAATAACAGCTGTCCAGTATTCCCATCAAATTTTTTTCAATATTTCTCTAACTGACTTCAACCCGTGATCGAACTGCAAACAAGGTTCACATTTTTTTCTTATTGATTATTGCTAAAGTCTCGGTTGCATGAAAATGTTTGCGAAATCCTTTCGAACGCCTTGGTTATACTTTATACATATATGACTATGCTGAAGTAATAAAGAGTTGAAGAAGAATTGAACTGCATTCTCCTTTCGACAGTCATGCTGCTCTGTGTTTATGGGCGCGTCTAGACAACATCCTGATACTACGGTCTATGTACTTAGCTCCATAAGACCAAGTGAATTGCTAAATGCGCACATTGAGGTTGCCGACAGTGGATTCTTGTCTTTGACATTATTAGTAAACAAGAGCACTTGTAGTGAAGGTGAAGCTCTAAGATGCAACAAAGAACGTTCTTTTTAACTGCCTTCGACAGTTGGCTTCACTAGTGTTGTATCTTCCTTGAAATTGTGATTTACAGTAGGTTGTTTCTTCGATCCATCCAGGTTTCGCGTAGTATCGGTCCTTCTCTTTAGGTATTGTTTGTCGATGAAGGAGGTTGGATATCCATTTTCGATTAGAGTACTTTTGAAGGATTCCAATTCTTTATTGAATGTATCTTTAGTGCAGATGCCGTAGATTCTCGTTGATGAAAAGGCTGTGAGACCTGGTCATTGAAAGTGGAAGACATAAAAAGGCTAGCTGTCTTTAATCATAGGTGTCTGCGTTTTGTCTCCTATGTTAAATGGTATAATAAGGTGAGCAATATTGAGGTTAGGTATCAGTGGAGTGAGTGCTAGGTAAGGAGGGGAAATCAATCGGCGATGAGGTATATTCCGTAACGATGAGGTTGTGAGTCTACACCGATTGAGATGGTTATCACATATGATACGCATGTTTAGCCATCGCGTTCCTCTACAATGGGCAATGTTAGCTGACAGAGGATGAATCAGATTTCGAAAGAGCCATTGGTGGTGAAGTGGAAACGTGGCATCAGTCAATGAAATCCATAACAGTTACTTTAAATGGGCCACGTAGGGAGGTGTAGACTTGTTGGTTGTGACTGGTTGGTTGGGGTCCTCGGGACGGTAAAAACCAATGACAGCTAGAGACAATTGCTGGTGTTGTGATGGTGATGATATCGTTTTCAGTGGCTAGCGCAGATGCATCCGCTCTTCGTGATTTATCAAATCCATTAAAACTATATTGTCCTTCCATATTACTATTCTTTTTCCCCCCTTCACACTTTTATTAATTATCTCTCTTTTGAATCTTCCTTTACTCTCACTTCTCTCGCTTTGTGTGTTACAAAGAGTGAGTGTGGCAACTCAAACTGCTGCACATCTGTACAAAGTTCTACGTTGAAACCAGTCAGTCTGTCAGTTAGTCAGATTAGCGATACAAGAGGGATGATGAGATTTCTTTTTCTGCTTATCAATACAAAACTTTGAAAATTTGTCAGTTCTGTCAGTTCCATTTTAGCTTGTGGTAAATTGATGATTGAATCAGCAGAATCAGCGGTAGATCGAAGGTATCGGCACTCGTCAACAAGGTAATAATTGCAACGTTGAATGAATTGATGCTTACCCTATATAGAGAGAGATTTGAGCTTACATCGCTTAGTGCTACTGTCAGTGACGTTACCAATGTTGATCTTCATCTAAGATGTAGAAAATGAGTTCAGTGGGAAATTTGCTTGTTTCACACACTCAATCAATCAGTTGTATAGTACAAATTTTGGGGAAAATCGATGTCTTACAGCTTCGAACGTGTATTACTCAAAGATTTTTAAGTGTATTCGCGATCACTGACTGACTAGTTTCAACGTGGAACTTTACAGGGATGTGCAGCAGTTCGAGTTGCCACATTCCCTCCTTTGTAGCACACGAAGCGCAAGTGAAGAGAGTAAAGAGAGATAATAAAGAGAAAGGTGAGGTAAAAAGAATAGTAATATCGAAGAACAATAGAGTTTTATTGGATGTCATAAATCACAAATAGTGAATGCTTCTGCTATACAGTAATATTTACTGATGACGTTTCGAGCACAATTTATTGCTCATAATCATATCAAGTTAATCACACGACTTCCTAAATTCATTTATATAGTTCCATTGTTTTTCACTTGATTTTCACTTGATTTGATTGGTAGTATTATTTTCCATATTTCAGGTATGAGTGACATGGAGAAGATTATGCGAATAGGAGATGATGAAAGCATGTCGGCTTCTCTAGCTTCTTGACACACATAAACTCACTAGTGGAAGGAATAAAATTCACATTTGAAGCCGAAAATGAGCAAGGAGAATTAGCTGTTATGTTAGATTGTAAAATAAAACGAATAGAAGAAGGTAAACTAGACACTAGTGTTTATAGAAAACCAACGCATTCTAATAGATATTGAGACTTTAATTCATCTCATCCTTTAACTGTTAAGGCAGGCTTAGTTAAGTGTTTAACAAACCGAGCCATAGTACTAAGTAGCACAAAAAAGACCTAAATGACGAAATAAAACAGACAGAAGAAGCGTTGGTGTTGAATAACTATCCTATAAAATTCATTAGGAAGATCACTAAAGGCCAACAGAAAAATAAAAAGAATTCTGAAACTAGTAATAATAACATAAATAAGAGGGAATATAAGTCATCCACTGTAATATCATACAAGGAGGGGACATCTGAGACCCTACGTAGGATTCTGAATAAAGCACTAATCAGGGTGGCATTCAAACCTACAAACTCACTCAGGGACAAGCTCTGTAGGTTAAAGGACCCAGTGGACCCAATTAGACAAAATAATATAATTTACAAAATACCCTGCAATGACTGTGAGGGAGGTCAACTACATGGGTCAAACTAGTAGGTCGGGGGTAGTCAGATTGTCAGAACATAAGAATTTAGCTAAGGTAAGGATGGTTGACGCAGAGAATATAAGTAATTTAGAAAAAAGCTCGACAACTGCAATGCATGCATTAACACACAACCACACAATAGGGTGGGAGAGGGTTAAAATTCTAAAAAGTAATCTAGGTAGGTGGAGAGAGAGGTTGATTACTGAATCTTCGTTCATCGAATCTACACCCAACACATGCAATAGGAATGAATCATCACTCACACCCGAAATATGGAAAATAATACTACCAATCAAATCAAGTGAAAAACAATGGGACTATATAAATGAATTTAGGAAGTCGTGTGATTACCTTGATATGATTATGAGCAATAAATTGTGCTCGAAACGTGGTCATCAGTAAATATTACTGTATAACACTGTGAGACTCTATCAAAATAAAATTTACCCATAATGGAGTTACACTCTATCACAGTGCCCAAGTTTTATTCTTATATGAATGCTTCTGCATTATTCATTGAGAACGATTTTAAGCTATATCGCCAATTGTCTCTAACCATTAGCTCTTACCATCCTAAGGACTCCAACTAGGGAGTATGCAAGACACTCTGACCACGTATTCGTGATCTGTATCCAACACGACCTTCCTGTTTCACTGTCAACGTATTGCAAAAGCATAACAATCTACACATAGTTACAAATTCAACGTCAATCTTGTCATAATTTATATGGCATTAACACATTTGCTTACTATTTGTTTCCAGAATAATTTAAATTCACATTGCAATCTATAAAATTCAATTTACTTTTGAAATAAAAAAGAGAAAGAAAAACCACGCACAAAGTCAGATGTTTTACAGAATAATAATCATATGAGGATTGTAATCGATAGATTTTCATTGGACAGTTCAATAATCAATTGGATTCGACTTGTGTGTGTGTGTGTGTGTGTGTGTGTGCGTGATCCGATGATACGAAATATTCATATGATCCAGTTCATTCAATCATTATTGTTATTATTAATTAGTATTTCGACAGAAACATAAGTGTGTCTTCACTTTGATAAGACCACCTGATATATATTACTTCTGTCCTTGATGTCTGTCTGTCATCAAGTAAATCCCTCTAAGGTGGTGGTGGTTAGTCACATAGTCTTAGGTGGTAAAAGAAAAAAAAGAAAGGAAATCATCTGGATTGATTGTAAATTTCCGTGACATGTGTTGTACAATGCTGAGACACACTGTTGTTTCGTGGAGGCGACGAAGGGGGGGGGTCGGGCGATATCTACCGGAATTTGTTCGCCTAGGTTTAAGAAATCTATTATTATTATTATTATTTTTACGAGTTGATCACGGACTGATATCAGTTAAAGAATCATTGAAAACCAGCTGAGAGTACTTGACACCTGTTACGTCCTAGTTTGGGACTCATCAGCTTTACACTCACCCACTGGGATTCGAACCCAAGACCTTCCGGTTACAAGGCAAGCTTGTATACCATTCAGCCACTCACCGGGACCCGATTCAATGGCTCATGAATTCTAACTTCTACCGATTCGTGATTTAGCGCGACCCCAACCATTGTCGTTGGTGGGACATCCATCCACACACGTGACATCTAATTGGAATTCACTGGTCACGACTTCTCACTAGAACACTCCAGGAAACTCCATTATGTAGCAAGTCACTAGCGAGCATCAGATTGATTTTTTCTATAGTTTGGTTTGTAAGGGTTAGTTATGTTTTTACGAGTTTGTAATTTTAATTCGTATTCTTTCGTCTTCTTCTTCCAACTCGTGTAACAACAGAAGACAAGAGCCAGGCAACCGATCGTTTATTAAGGAAAATCAACACATATTTATAGATTTTAATGTACATTATTGTAGATTATTGTTAGTGTAAAATACAGTCTTTTGATTGGTTGTTTCTCACAGAAAGTTAACCTCGCATCTCTTTGTGGCTGTGTCAGATCATCCATATGCTAACTGTATCCGCCTACGCAAAGCCTTTGTTCTCATTTTCTCACCACCACCACCAATTTTGGGGACATAAACATTGACGTCAATTACTGTCTATCAACTTTGGCTAGCAGCCAGTTCTCATCACACTCGTACACAATCGAATCACTCGCGCCTTCAAATTGCCCGCCAATGGCGACCAAAACCACCAATAGACAAACGTTCACAATATTCATAATTATTGACAATTCCCTTGAGTTCTGAGTGGAAGATTTTTTTCCTCTCTAAGCCGTACATATGTATTATTATTATTAATATTGTATCCTTTAATTCCTAGAGGAACATAGGGCTTCAACCGTGCGTCTCCATTGAGTTCTGTTCTCTGCTAGAGTCTTCAACTGGCTTCATGTCTGCCCATACGTTTTCATCTCCTCTTCACATGACCTCCTCCAAGTCACCCACCCTCGCACTGACGACCAACTCGCCGCTTCCCTTTTGGGTTCCACTCGAGCGATGGCCTGTCTTGTGATGTCACTTGATGATTTCCTCAGAGTATGGCGAATCCATCTCCATTTCCTTCTGCATATTTGTTTCACAATCGGTTCCTGCTGGGTTGGTTCGCTCCCAGAGATCCCTGTTGCTGATCTTTTCTAGCCGGCCATCTGATCTTGAGTGGTATTGAGCGAAGACAACTGTTAATGAAGGTTTGTAGTTTGTTTGAGATGGTCTTTATGACGCGCAGTGCAAGTCTCTGATCCGTATATTAGCATTGACTGATTTCACATTGGAGTTGAAAATCCAGATGTTATTTTTGATGCTGAGTGTTGTTGACCTCCACACAGACTTGAGAGTAGTGAAAGCTTGTCTTGCTTTTCCGATTCTTGCTTTGATATCCTCGTCAGTTCCGTCTGCCTGTAGTTGAAACGATGCTTCCCAGGTAGGTAGGTAAAGGAGGTTGTTTCTTTCAGGTTCCTCCCATTTATGCTGATTGTTGTCTGTTGGTGGTGTTGCCCGGGAATCTTCATCACCTCTGTCTTCTCTATGTTCACCTGAAGTCCTATCTTCTCTGGATGCTTCTTCCATCGCCAACTTGTTGCTTTTCACTTGCATACCTTCCAGTTTGTGGGAAATCAGACACATATATCATCGGCGAAGTCCAGATCCTCCAAGTTTTTTGTGTGAGTCCATTTTATGCCTTTTTCGTCATTGCCCGCTGTTTGTCGCATTATCCAGTCTACCGCAATCAGGTTAATCATTGGCGATAGTAGGCAGCCAGCTTGTCTTACTCCTGTCCTCACTTCGAAGGACTCCGTAAGTTTCCCGTCGTGGATTACTTGGCATGCAGCATTGTCGTACAGCTGTTGGATGAGATGTATAATTGTCGGTGGCACCCCGTAGTAGCGAAGTAGTTGTCAAAGCACCTGTCGATCGAGGAAGTTGAGATAGAGAGGTGACTGCCATTCCAAGCTAATACATATATATGTATATATTTTTTTCATTTGACTACATTCCATATCCCCTTATTTCTTGTTTTCTTTCTTTCGTTTTTTTTTTGCACAGTTTTAGCTGCTGATGGTTCCTATTACAAGTATACATTTACAGCGAATGGTACAGTAACACGTGTAACATTTGTGAATTTTCTCGACTTCTATGATGATGAAACCGATTTCTAAGCACATCTATTATGTGTGTGTGTATGTGTGTGTGTGTAGACACTTTCTTTGATACAAAGCTTATTTTATTGGCCTGTCTCCCCCACCACCACCACGTCTTCTACACTCCCTGACTGACTGACCACCACTTTTTTTCGGCCCTTTTTCTTGGCCAACTGAGCTGGTGTGAATAGTCTGATGACACACTAATGTCAATCCTTTATCAGCTGATAATGATGTTGATGATGATGACGAACAACTGTTAACCTGTTAACCAGTCGGAATGTCACTGACCTCATCGTCACCCCTCAGTATTCAGCTTTGTTTTTGTTTGTGTTTTTTATCACCTGGCTATGCGTTTCATCTTTTCTGACATCACATGTACGTACGTATGTGTTCGTGTGCGTATGTGTCTCTGTAATGTATGTATGTATGTATGTATGTGCTTGTATGTATGTCATTGATTCTACTTTCTTTCTCCTCCCTTTATGACCGACCCGATGTGATTAAAAGAATGAACTGGAAAAAAGAGATTTAGCCTCCTTGTTTTGTTTTGCCTTGTTGTTTTTTTTTGTTGCTGTTTTTTGACTTTTTTTGGTGATGTGTTTCCCTTCTTTTGTATCACTTTCTTATTTGTTTACTGATTGTGATTGACTCTATAAATAATCTATGGTCAAAAATGGTATTATTATTATTATTGTTCCCTTGGGTTCCTAGTGGAACATAGGGCTTCAACTGCACGCATCCACTTGCTTCTGTCTTCTGCTGTACTTTTTACCTGCATCCATGTTAGTCCATACTGTTTCAGTTCCACTTCACACGATCTCCTCCATGTCACCCTTGGACATCCCACTCGCCGCTTCCCTTTCGGGTTCCACTCGAGCACTGGCCTGACGCGCGATGTCACCCAACGGTCTTCTCAGCGAGTGTTCAATCCATCTCCACTTTCTCCTGCATATTTGTTGAGCGATTGGTTCTTGTTTTGTTTGTTCCCATAGTTTCTTGTTGGTGATTCTTTCCGACCATCTGATCTTCAGTATAGAGCCAGCGAAGACAGTTGTTGTTGATAAAGGTCTGCAACAGGCTGTTGAAAATATTCTTGGTGACCCGCCAAGTTTCTGATCCGTATAGAAGAACTGACTGACTTGACGTTTGTATTGAAAATCCGAATCATTTTGTTGTTGATGCTGAGTGACGAAGATTTCCAGATTGGTTTCAGGTTGATGAATGTGTTTCTCGATTTGACATCCTCGTCCGTTCCTCCTGTGGTTGAGACAATGCTCCCTAGATAAGTGAAGTGAATGAAGTAACCTCTTTCAAATCCCTCCCGTTGATGGTGATTGGCCCTGGATGTTGGTGCTGTTGTTTTTGTTGGTTGGTTATTTTCATAACTTCCGTCTTGTCTATGTTCACCTGGAGTCCTGTCTTTGCTGCTTCTTCGACCAGTTTGTCGGTTTTCACTTGTAAGTCTTCGATTTTGTGTGACATCAAACATAAATCATTCACGCGCGAAATCCAGGTCTTCTAGGTTCTTCACGTCGGTCCAGGATATCCCTGTGTTCTCGTTTCCCACTGTCTGACGCATAATCCAGTCCACTACAATTAGGAATATCATTGGTGATAATAAGCACCCTTGTCTGACTCCTGTGTTTACTCCAAACGCCTCGCTGAGTTTTCCGTTGTGGATCACTTGACATGTGCCGTTGTCGTATATCTGTTGAATAAGGTTGATGAATATTTGGGGTACGCCGTAGTACTCGAGTAGTTTCCCAATTACTTCGCAGTCAACGCTGTCGAAGGCCTTCTGAATGTCTATAAATTTGAGGTAGAGGTTTAATTGCCATTCCATGCTTTGTTCTGTGATGATGATGCGTAGAGTTGCAATTTTGTCAGAACATGATTTGCCTTTCCTGAATCCAGCTTGTTCTGATCGGAGTTCTGTATCCAGTGCGTCCTTTATTCTCTCAGAGATTAAACAGGATTAAGTCAGTAGGTGACATGCAAGCGTCAGAACAGGGATATACAACACAGTATAGGAGAAAAACGGATAATAATTACAAAGTCAATTGAAACATACAAATAGGTATCAATATTTTGATCAGATTGTTCAGGAGGGATTTTACAAACAACTGCTCTCCGTTACAGAAACACACAGTAGAACTAACTTAATACTGATATATTGAAAATCCGAAACTTTCCCCTTGGACTGATTGCAGCAGATGTCCACATTGATTTCCGATTCATGAATGTCCTATCTTTGACATATATATGCATCAGTTCCACATATAGTTGAAATAGTACTGCGTAAGTGAGTGAAACAGTGAGAGTGACTTCCTTCAGATTTCTCCTGATGCTTATGATTAGTGCTTGTTGGCTAGAAATCTTGAACATCTCTGTCTTCTACTCTACGCTACACTCTTCTACCAACTTGTTGGTTTTCACTTGTAAATCTTATAGGTTTGTATGGCATAAATCGACATAAATCATCCTCAAAGTTTTAAATCTTCTGAAGTTTTCTTATCAGTTCAATGTATGCAATTCATACATAGTCTAATATTAATTCTCCCCGTTGTTTTGTCTAAAGTTCGTCTAACTATCATCCATAGCATTGCACCATAACTAATGCAGGTTGAAGGCAAATGTTAAACATGAGTGTTTATAACGTTCTTCTCACAATTCTCTTCTTCAATTGCCTTTTTCCACTGTCCGATATATATATATATATATATAGTTACTCTTTTCTGAATTCGTTTACTGATATACTACTTATATTTGATTATAAGTAGCACTCACCACACTATCATTTAGGGATAAACTATATATATATATACAAGAGAGACAAATATACTTTTCTATTTCTTCTAATCACTTATGGTTTCTTTTCGTTTATAAAATAATGGGAAGGTAATCCATGCCTAAACAGTTACATTTTATAAGCAGCGCTTCACATATTACTTTTAAGCCCTTCTTTCAGATATTAATATCGACCTGTTCAATTTAGGATTGATTAGAATCACTATCATATTGGTTCTATATAACGTGCCTGTAAAACATTCTGTGGCTGTTTTAGAGAGAGAGAGAATACTCTCTGGTGTAGCAGTCACCACCACTGTGGACTTTGAATCTAGCGTCCCGATTTCTAGTCTCAGAGAGGAGGTACTCAATGGTATAATGCTCCCCAACCACACATGAGTTCCAGGTTCTACTCCCGGCTGGCGAAAATTTCAACTGTCATATCGGTATTAAGCTCGGTAAAGAGGCTATCCCGTAAGAAAAACAAGGTTATTGTAGCTTGGAGTTGCATGTTCCACTCGAGAACAAGTAGTGGTAATCTGGAATGTCAGTGTTAGCCTTAGCTACAACTATTCGGTTTATATTACTTTTGTTGAGTTGATTAGTAGAATTCAATTCATTATCGTCTTATGATTACAGTCTTTGAAATATGTTCTGCAGTGTTCATTTCTTAAATCATTACGTCTTCTGGTTATTTGATCGGCTCACTCACTGCTGGTAGTCAGAGACGTTACCACTATGCTATTCGGGTTCTCAATTGACCTTCTCCTATTGGACATAAACAAGTCTCCAGTCAAAGATGAAGTGAGATCTGTCACCGGGTAATCTTCATTATACCTCGTAGTTCCCCTTGATTTCCGTATGACTGACTGTGTCTACCTACGTGCATTGATATCGATCGTCTCGTTGACCTAATATTTTTGATTATGTGATCTGTTTTTTCATTGATCGATAAGTTTGATCTATGTCCACATATCTCGGAATATACACATTTGATCATAGGCAATAAAAAGACAGTTGCAGCGAAGAAAGAAAATTTTCTTTTCGACGAAGTCATCAACTAGGCAGCTGTGCATTCGTGTATTTATATCAAATGGATGGGAAAGTTCCAGAATAATTTCTGGTTAGGGGTTAAATTAATAAAAATTACAATTAGGAATTAGAATGCCATAATAAACAGGGGGATGGGTAAAACTCAAACTAAGTAGCATAATAACTAAGATGATTGACATTGTGCAATTGAGGGTTAGAAATGTAAAAATAAACAGGAAGTGTGGATATGAAAAAGCTGTCGCATTGGGCCACCTCAACGTGCATATACCAGTTTACTTGCTCTCGTGGAATTGAGTACATCGGCCGTACCATGCGCCAACTTGGAAAACACGCTCGTGAACACTACCCAGCCTGGCTAGAAAAAGGAGAGCAAAAACGTGTATACAGTTCAGTGACAGAACATCTGGTCAACTCAGGACATTCAACGCCTTTCGAAAAATCCTTCAAAGTAATATACAAGATTCAATCAAACCTATCAAAGGGAGTGAAATCAAGACATTTGGGCATAGCTGAGGCGTTAGCTATCCAAAAGCTGAAACCCACTCTTTGTATCCAAAAGAAATACGTCCAACCTATGTCCCTGCCGTGGCCATCGTAAACAGGTAAATTTTTTAATAATGACCATCCCATCGCCTTTCTTATCTAAACTTCCTGTTTATTCATATTATTTTAAGTTTTCTTAATCCCTGTCTACACTACCATATTTTCGTATCCACACTTCCTGTTTATTTTGTCATTTTACTATTTCTACATATATTTAATCCCTGATTGCATAAACAATTATTCATCACACTAGTTTTTTTATCCAAACTTCCTGTATATTTTGTTATTTTTACATTTCTAACCCTCGATTGCACAATGTCAATCTTATTAGTTATTATAATGCTACTTTGTTTGAGTTTTACCCAACCCCCCTGTTTATTATGGCATTCTAATTCCTAATTGTAATTTTTATTAATTTTGCCCCTTAACCAGAAATTATTCTGAAACTTTCCTATCCATTTGATATAAATACACGAATGCACAGCTGCCTAGATGATGACTTCATCGAAAAGAAAATTTTCTTTCTTTGCTGCAACGGTCTTTTTATTGTCCACATATCTATCAATTGTGAATTAACTTGAGAACTAGACCTCTAGAAGTTCTCTGGTGTTCTATGTGTTTTCTCTGTCTACGATTTTTACATCTTCCCAGTTGAACTGTTGTCCACATGAACTGATATACACGAATGCATTTCATGTCTTTTCGCTGTTACCTTGTGTTGATCGATCACAAATCTATCTGATGCACTCTAGTGACTGACTATAGGACGAAAATGACTGGAGTTAGTTCCAGGGTCAACCAGGTCGGATGCGAGGACAAATACTCACCGATGATACTGTCACAAATTGGTAGAAGTTGGAATTCATGGGCTGGCCACTGGATTGGATCTCAGTGTCTGAATAATCAATAAAACTTGCCTTGTAATGAGAAAGGTCCTAGGTTCAAACGCTGGCGGTGGGTGGGTACTGCCGATGAGTTCCAAACTAGGCTGATAAAACAGCTGTTCAGTACTCCTGGTTGGTTTTAAATGGTTCTCTAGATGACATTAATCCGTTGACAAACTCCAAATAAATAAAATCCCTACAATTGAACTCTTGAAAGTTTTTTCATGAACCTTCTAGTTTCAGTAATGATGGCCTCATTCTCAAAATTCTCCCTTTTTTTTTACCTTACGACTAACTAGAAAACTAAGCATTCACAATTTCAACGATTTAGATGACTGACTGACTGGTCGTTTTTATTATTTATTACTCTGAATTATTAGAAGGTAAACTTTTAGTGATTTGAA